GTATGTGGCTGGCGCCTTAGCCACTTGAGCCACAGGCGCCGAGCCGGGTTTTTTTTTGATAGTTCTATACAGTTGTGATGCACACTGAGACAGACCAGCCCAGTTCCCTTTGCTGAAGTTAAGTGATCTTCTTGGAAGAGATGAAAGTTGAAACCAGGCAGAGATAAGAAATTAAGAGTTTCCAAAATCAATAGTAGAGTCTTTGGAATAATTAGTTTGCTTGAGACCATAAATAAAATGGTTGTTTTCACTGGAGACTAGGTCTGAATGTTGTACTGTCAGCAGATTGTTAATTAGGCAGGGTAATCCAGAATGTTAAATTTAAAGTTCCCCCAATTAAACTGGAGCGCTGCATCCAAGTCAGTGGTACGGCCTAGGATTCTCATTCTCATTAAAATGTGGCAGATTTTCTCTTCTCACTAATTTTGAATGTAGTTTCCAAGGAGAAGGTGGTGGAGCTGGTTGGTAGTGATAACACTCAGTAAAAGATGCAGTGGAGAGAGAATGACACAGTAACATTTCTTTTACAAAGCGGTACGTGTCCTCCTGCCGTGTGCTCTGTTTCCATTCCCTCTAACCCCGCCCCCAAATGCGCCTTAAATACAGTCCCGTCTGTGTGGCACAGTCAGCAAACGTCCTCTTTCATTTTCTGGGAGAGAAGCTATATGTGGCATTCTTTGCGATTCCTGTAGCCGTATGTCACACCTAAGCCAAATGAAAAGTGGTAGTTAATGTAGACGTTGTGAAAATACACTATTAAGGCATTAAGATTTAACCAAATATTTGATCTTTTCACAATGAAAGCACATAGAGTCTCCCTGTTCTGTAGTAATTTGTTTCCTTTCAGACTTCATCATTACAACTTTTTCAGAGACTCGGAAAGATTGGAACCCAATTCTTACAGCTTTTTGTGTCGACTGAGTCACCAAACAGAAGTGCCTGTTGTTTTTCGGGGAGTACAGAATGCATTTTATTCTCTTCTAATCCAGCAAGCTGAGAGGCAGTGAGAGGCAGAGCAAAAAAAAAAAAATTGATAAAGGAAAAAAAAGGAGGATGGAGACATAGAAAGTCCATCACTATAAACTTCGTAGCTGCACGTGCAAATACAGAAACTGTCCTATAGCAAGTGCTAAGGGCATGCTGCTCTCATTATTCCGTTTGTATGAAAAAGTTCATGCAGACAACAGCATCAATCCTGGTTAATGGGCATTGACGTGGATTCTTTCAGCAGAGCTACGAGGAGAAGGCTTTGAGAATGTCAAGGGGGGGCTCTTGATCACATCTCGCTACAGGCCAGTTTTGTATCACCCAACTACAATTACTTCCAACCAGGGAAATGGCTTTGGAATGGTGATGTAATGATTCTCCCTAAACTTGAGATAGTCTGGGGAGGTTTAGCATCCTGGGCACAGTCTCGGATTCTGCTGCTTCTGTCCACACACTGGCCATCTCCCTTGTTAGTGGAATGAACTTGGGTAGTTTCTTTATGTCTTTTTGTTTCAGTTGCCTCATCTTTAAAATGGAGATGATGGTGGTACCTGTGGGTTATAAGAAATCAATGAGGGAGTGCCAGTGGTCCCAGCTTTTTGGGAGACTGAGATAGGAGGATCCCTTGAACCCAAGAGTTCGAGTTCAGCCTGGGCAACATAGTGAGACCCTGATCTAAAAAAATAATACCAGTGAGGGATCTTTGTTCATGGCCTTCAGAGAGGGAGCCCTCAGTAAATGTGAGGGACGAAACTGAATTATATAGTGACTTTATGTAATAGGAGTTGATAGCATTTTAGATAAGTCTATAAAATTTCATTTTCAGTCACAAAAAATAATGTCATAGGATCCACTTGGAAGTCACAAGCAGAAACTTGGCTGAGTAGCACAGGGCTAGTTGTATGCTATAGAGACCAATTGTAGACGCAGCTTTCTCTTTAAGGGTGGGGTGAACTGCACGCTGCTTTTAGTTCTTGAAACTAATCTCTCCAACAAAGTCACAAGCTGAGCTTGGGCTGGAACCAATGCTCTGGGCTTACAACTGAATGTCATTAGAACACAGGTTCAAGGGAAATTACAAATCAGTACTTAACGTTTTTCCTGTGCCTTTCTAGATAAGGTCTAGATGATTCTTCTTCCTTATTGACTGTGACCTTTAGTTTTTATCTTTCCCAATGGAATCATTTTTCATACAGAATTCAATTCGCTTCAAGTATCTGTCTCTTCTGCTTAGTTTAAAAGATGAGGTCAAGGCCCTGTGAATGTTTTGTCACTGGTATCTGCTATTTTTCAATTTCAGTCTCATCATAAATTACATTGTGGTAGGCTCTGTCTCCTGTCTGGTAATTGCAAAGCAGGCCTAGCCCAGGTCTTCTGACATAATCTGTTGTAAGGTATGCTGTTTGTCTAAGAACATAAGGTCATCTGTGTTATAAGGGCATGATAGCATCACGATAAGTCATACCTTCATTGCACACTGAACCATGCACACTGGCCTATCCTAACCATTCAGAATGTCACTGGGCAGAAGAATTGTCCTCTTTGTATTACAGCCTTACTAGATTGCTTGCTGACTGGTAATGAATCCACTACACTGAGACTGTAGGAGTTACAGCAGAGAAAGAGTTTAATATCACAGGTGCCGTGGGAGGAGACAGGAGGAAGTTCTCAAATCCATCTCCCTGAGGATTTGGAAGAAAGGGTTTTCAAAGACGGTCTGGGGCAATGGGCTAGGCAGTTGGGTCTGCCGATTGGCTGGGTTCTGCGTGGAACCATAGGGGTGTAGAAATTATCTTCTTGTACTGTGTCATTTCCTGGATGGGGGTCGCAAGACCAGCTGAGTCAGTTCCTTGGCTTGGGTCACTGGTCTGGGTGGGTCAGCTGTTCCCCCAGAATGCAGGACCTGGAAGATATCTCAAAAACTAGCCTTAGGCTTCACTAGGGTGATGGTAACCATGGGATTAATTAAGAAAGTTAAGAATCTTTATGATTATCAGCTGTGTGACTCCTGAGTAGCACAGAAAGCAAACTAAGAAAAAATGGCTGGTTATCTATATATTTATATATAAACTATGACTATATTTTTGCAGACTCGAGGCCCCTACCACAGTTTCTGCCTTGTGGCCCTTTATTAATTTTATAAAGGATGATTTCATGTGTACGTTCTGTGTAACCTGGGATAAATCCCTAGATTCTTCGGGCTTTAAGACTTCTTATCTTTGAAACGATGATGTAGATTATCTCGAAAACCCCTTCTAACCCTCTCCTTTCTTACAGCAGTGTTTTCCAAGCTCTGTTTTGAGGAAAGCTCATAGTTGTGCTGGGGTAGGGGGCTCTTTGGTCCAATTTAGGAAGTGCTTCTTACCTTATTCATCGCTTAGTTACAGGCACACCTGCATATTCATGCATGTCCATAGTTAAGAAATCTGTGTAACAATGCTTAATCATGCATTTCTCAAAGACAGGTGAATATGCAATTTTAAGCGTTTTTATTAGTTTTGCTAATGACAGCCACTTCTTTGTGAAGAATTTGAAGAGTATGGTTTGGGAAAAACTTCTGCTCTGGGTTTCTGAGATGACTCAGTCTCATAAGGTAAGGAACACACAGCAGTGTCCCTGATTTACAAATGACACTGGGTAAGCACAATTTCTATTGAATTGGAAACATTTGCTAAGTAGTTGGTTTCTTGATTCTAATAAAGCACGAGCCAAATTATCTCTGGTTCAACAGAAGTCAAATTTGGAGCACTGTGATCAGGGAGGAATTCCTTTCTGGGTCAACTGTTCAAAAATCAGAGTTTCAATATTGGGTTGCCTATTTGTCCCCCATGCTCTCTTCTGCCTTGTTAAATGTGCCAAACCCACAAGAGTTGCCGTTAAACTAGAACCTCTTTGAACCTCAGAAAATAGCTGTGGCACTATGTTTTTTCCCACTTCCTCCTTTTATTTTAAATCAGATCAGAATAATAATTTGAGATTCAAAAGAGTAGGCAAAACAAGGCTCTGTTACATTTTAAATGAAGGCTAACAAGAATAGAAAATGCAACTATCAGAGACTTCTGTTCCATCCTTATGGTAAAAAATCCCAAGATACTAACAATGACAAAAAAAAAAAAAAAAAACCATTCAGGCTGAAATATGGAATCAATGTCATGGGAATGTTAGGCATGAGGTATAATCAGACTTCAATAAAGGCGTCTGGCCTTTTGGCAGCAGCAAACATATGACAGTTATGCAAATCGCAAGCATTTTATCAACCAGTGATCCAGTTGTGATTCTTTGTCTGGCGCCTGGTGCTGCAGCCAAGTCAGGAGGACATTATCAGAGGCACCGAGTTCCAGGCAGTGCTCTGGACAAGGGGAAAGGAGCAGAGGGTGATCCGGGAGGGATGGCTGTTCACCAGAGGCATTTCAAAACAAAACCAAAAAGCCACATAGATGAGGAAAAGAGTATGCCAGGATCTTCACGGAATCAAACTTTGTATTCAGCCAATGTTTTCCAATAGTCTTTTTTTCCTCTAGTAGGTTATAGGCCTTAATCTTTTTTAAATCTCAGATTAATACGAGGAGGATGCACAATTAGGTTAGTAGTTTGCATTTGTAAGGTAAAGTTCCAGTTGTACTTTTTTCCTTCTAGAGGCCTTAATCTTGATATCGCCTAATGGATGCTGGGGGGTACATAGAAGAATTAAATGTTTCACCCTCATACTTGCTGATTATACCAGTTTCTTTCTCTCTTAGCCAACACGTGTATCCGATGTTTGTCCTAAGTATCTTTTCCCATTTAAATTGTGTCTTTATAACTCTTCTAATATGCAAAATCCCTGATGTTCAAAAATAACCGGGAGAAATGTTGGATTGTAGGTGGTGGATAATCTGATCCAACATCAGGGCATTACTGACTAAAGGAAAAAACTACCTCTTTCCTGAGTCTTTCCGGATGAGGTCATTGTTTACAGATGGTGCATACCTAATATAAAAAACGCTCAAAGTCCAAGCTTCATTTCAAACCAGCGCTTTGTCAGGGAACTGTTTTCAAAGCCATAATGAATAACCAGACTGGTAGTAAAAAAAACCTCTCTGAGTTCTAGTATTTTTTTTTTTTGATCTGAGTATTTAAAAAAAAAAAATAATAAAAAGCCCATCTGGATGAAATGGTAATTCATTAAGGAAAAAGAAGAGGCAGAAGGCTTGGGAAAATCAATCATATTTTTTTCTTGTTTCATGCATTTGGGTTACTATGAAACGATAGTGACCAAAGTCTGGATTCTGGATTATACAGAGTGGAGGAAAATCTTAGGAACATTCTTGGCGTGTTTTGATCATAGCTTCCCAGAAAGGAGGTTTTCTATGGGTGTGGTGTCCGTGAGCTGATGGATGTGCTCTTACAAGTGGACTTTAGAAGCGGCCGGGGTGGGGGAGAAGGGGATGAGGACTCTGTACATGAGGAAGGAGCTAGACTCACTCAGGAAACTCCTCATTCTTCCTGAGCTGGCCTGGCACACCCACGTGGGCCACACCCCTCCCTTGAGTCCAGTTCAGCCCACAAACTCCTGGGAGGAGAGCCAGGGCCCCAGCCTCTCCTCTGGGAGTGGAGGCAGTCCTTCCGTGTGCCAGCCACCTAGTGCAGAACAGCTGAAACCTTAGAGCTTTGTGCATGTTAATGACCTTGGCAGTGACTGAGCTCATGGACCCTCATCACATCATTGAAGACTGCAAAGGTTTGACTGTTGATTTTGTAAACTCAGCATAGAGACCATCTGGGGTGGACCATGTCTTTAAAGATGAGGAAAGACAAAGGGCTTTTCTATTTGATAAAATAGCTTTACACTTAGTAAATGTGTGCATGATAATACTCTGCGTGCACAGCATACATTCGTATGAAACGCACTTCTTCTATTCCAACATATTTACAGATATATCATTAATATACTGGGATGTTACAAAAGACTGTGACTGTTTTGTAGCAGGAGCCAAACTCAATTTAACCAACAGCAGGTTGATCTCTTGGGCACTTTAAAAGGCATCCTTGGTGCCTGTGGGCAAACACCTATGATCCCATTTCTGGGTATTTTGTTATAGTTTGGATGCAATGCTTTCCCTACAATTGGGTTTTATGGACCAGCCAGTGGGAGGCTGGCTTCAGGAGCACCCCTGCTTATGCTGCCAGCATCCCCAGGTGTTGACAGCCTACACCACATCCAACCTCCTCTAAGGAGGGTGGCCTGACACAATCTTGCAGGCTGCCCCGCTGAAACCAGCAGACTGTGGCAATCATTTGCTGATTCTTTTGATACTGGACCCCTTAAGATAAAAGAGTGTAATTCATCATTTTGCTTTCTGGAGAGTCAGACTCGTGGGCAATTCCAGGTAAGGCAGATAGGTGTGGTCCCTCCCGCACTTCCCATTGCTCTGCTCTTCTTGGTTTCCCAGGGCCTCTGGGGAGCTCGGATTGTCCTCCCTACCCAGGACTTGCAGGACTGGGGAGCCTGGGTCTGCTGCACTTCACATGTACACACTTGTAAAGAGAGACAAAGGAATTCAAGGTTGGCCTACACCGTAACTGATGAATAATTCATGGTGGCTTCATGTGCCATCAAATGTTTTCCTGCAAATGAGCATTACTTTGAAAGACCATGATGGTTTAAAATCTGGTAATATGGTTTTGTATTCTTTATCAATTTGCCTTAGACATGTACGGGGCAGACACAGGTTGACAAACATCAGCACAATAAAATTTAAAGCTTACCATGGCCCCACGTGGGTGGTAAACCCAGAACTCTGCTCCAACATTTTTGCTCCTGTTCTTTCCAAAGGGAAGCATCACCTGGTATTTACAAGAGATTCTTTAACCCTGTCTGGGTTCTCCTCAAAGACAGAATCTGAACTCAGTAATAACATTGTGCGTATTAATTAGAATGCATTAATGTAATACTGCATTTAGAGTCAAAAACTGATTCTAACTGATTCTAACAGACCCTAACTGAAAGGGTCTGAGTGATAAAAGCAGAAGGTATCAAAATGTCTACGTGTCTCCATTTAAATAAATTCAAAGTCCTCTGTTTTCTTGGCACTGTACAAAGAGTGGATTTGAGTTTGGATTTCCAGGAAAGATAGGGCAGGTTTTGGAAAAATCACGTGGAACACAGACTGTAAGTAAACAGAGTAAGCCATATATCTAATTCTATTTTTAGTGGCCAAACCAGAAAGAAAAACTTCATTCCTTGTCCTCATTTTTTCACTACTCTCTTCCTTTCTACTCCATGGCATCTTTTTAAGATATTCGGAGTCTTTCTACTTGCTGCCAGCTGGAATCTACAGAAAGTGTATCTCTAGAACACTCAACAGTCGACTCAAATCTCAGTCATAATTAAATTGGAAGTTGGCAAATTTTTTTGAGACTGAAAAACAGGCACACCTTATGTTTGGAACATAAGGGGTGTTGCTATTCTGTATTGTTTTCAAAGTGTTCTCTGTAGGGAATATTGGCAATACATTTTAATTAACTTTTTTTTAAATGGATATTTTGGAAGGATATGCTGTATAATAAACTAGTCTGACCATGCTCACACTTCTATTTCTCATTCTCAGTAGTTGATTCCCCGATGTTTTAAAATAACAACAAACCTTGAAGCTTCTCCTCTCTCCCTCCTTAATGATAAGTAGATTACCCTGTCCTTTCTCTCCTGGCCCACCTGGAAAGCATGAGCTTGTTAGATGGCTTTTCTAAAGAATATACTTAGAGGCAGTGTTTGCATACAATTAATAGTAATTTAGGCATATGAGAAATCCAGCCTTCATTTTATGTTAAAATTTGACTGCTAACTCTTACATCACTGACATACATTACAGGTTGGGGTGATAGCCAGGATGGCAATTGAGAATATTAAGATTCAACAAGACATATCACTAAGTGTCATTCATTTTAGAAAAGGGGAAAAAAATGCCATGTGTTGATTAGTGCTCCTTTCAGGTTTCCTACAAGACTGGAAGTGCTGGACAGGTTTTTCTGCTTTCAGAGGCAGTCACAGCTGCAGCTGCCTCTGCAAATGAGCTCTGCTGAAGCCAGTGACCAGCGGGTCAATCAGAGCATGACATTATCAGGAACGTGCCTGAGGGGTGGGAGCAGGCAGCAGCCTGGGAGTGTTGAGCACAGAACAGTCAACAACAATAGAATGGGCTTTGGGAGCTTCTGTCTGAGTCACACAGTGCCGGGCTTGTGACCATACCAGGGTACCTTGAAGGTCTTGATGGTATAGAAACTCCCGCAGCCCGGTGTCACTCTTCCTAGTAATATTTAGCAAAGAAAACCTATGACATGCTGACATGTGAATGGAGTGGTGTGGAGAGTTAGAAGGGGAGGTAGGATACACAGTGATCTTGGGAAGAAGTCAGCATTTGAATGAGTGGTATCATTTTAAGGGAAGTACGTCTCTGTTGACTATTTTTAAATGGTTTAAATGACCTACTACCCGGTTTTTTACATACAAGGTGATGCTGTCTATATGAACAGCTATGTGCATGTATAGATTCTTGAATTTAATCAGCCATTTCACTTGTAAGGCTCTTGACCTCACATTTTTTCTTTTTTTTTGAGACAGAGTCTCACTATGTCACCCTCGGTAGAGTGCTGTGGCATCCCAGCCTGCCTATAGCAACCTCAAACTCTTGGGCTGAAGCGATTCTCTTGCCTCAGCCTCCCAAGTAGCTGGGACTACAGGTGCTGCCACAATGCCTGGCTAACTTTGTTGTTGTTGTTGCAATTGTCATTGTTGTTTAGCTGGCCTGGGCTGGATTTGAACCTGCCAGCTTTGGTGCATGTGGCCAGCGCCATAACCACTGTGCTATGGGTGCCGAGCCACATTTATTTATTTATTTATTAACTTTAAAGTTATTCTCACTCTATTAGTCTGTCTCGAATCAGCAGCTTCATGAGGGAGGGTCTGCTGGTGCATCACTGAGCCCTCCCTGGACTTGGCCATAGAGCTGTTTGTTAACATTTTGTTTGTTGCCGTTAATTTACTAAGCACCTTTTGACAGGTGACAGGCACTGTGCTAGGTACCAATCAGCATAAATCTCTGTCATTTAGAATTTATAATCTAAAGGTGCACTTGCCTGTATGGGCCAATGAGGTCTGACAATTAAGTTCATAAACTTGCCACCATGGGCTTGCATTGGCAGCACTGTACAAACAGCTCAGTAAGTTCTCATAACCTGGGTATATCAGTGTCTCCCAGCTGTGTTTGTTTGATGTGTGGTGGTATATTGTTGAGTGGCTTTTGTTATCATTGTTTTGTGCTTTTGTATGCCATTGTAAGAAGGTCTGAGCTTGAATTAGGGCAATGCGCAATCATTAAATTTCTTGTTGAACTTGGCCAGAATGAAAGTGAAATCAGGGACATGTTAGTCCAAGTGTATGGGGATAATGCCATGAAGAAAATGGCAGTGTACAAATGGATTAAATGTTTCTCTGAGGGGAGAGAAAGTCTCACTGATGAAGAAAGGTCAGGATGGTCAGTCACGAGCAGAACTGATGAGAACATTGCAAAAGTGTGTCGAATTGTGTGTCAAAATTGTCAGCCAATGTGAGAAGCAGAGCAGACCATGTAAACATTGAAAAACAGAGAAACCTTAACTAAGAGTCTTGGCATGAGAAAGGTGCAGCTCCTGTATCAGGACAATGCACCAGCTCACACAGCATGGACTGTGAGGCAGTTTGTAGTCAGAAAATAAATAACTGTATTGAAACATCCTCCCTACTCACCTGATCTGGGCCCCAGTGACTTTTTTCTTTACCCAAAGATAAAGGAAATATTGAAAGAAAGACAATTTTGATGACATTCAGGACATCAGGAATCATACAGCCATAGCTCTGATGACCATTCCAGAAAGAGTTCCAAAATTGCTTTGAAGGGTGGACCAGGTGCTGGCATCAGTGCACAGCTTCCCAAGGGGAGCACTTTAAAGATGACCACAGTGCTATTCAGCAGTGAGGTAGGTAGCACTCTTTCTAGGACGAGTTCAGGAACTTAATTATCAGACCTCATATGCCAGGCAACTAACCAACAGGAGACAGCATGTCATGACTCTGTGCAGAGTGGAGAATGTGAGTGAATGATGTGAGGGGATGTCATCCCCTAAAGTCACCTAAAGTAGTTGGGATGCTAGCTAGGGGATTCCCAGAGGCTCCTTGGGGTACAAGGGCCAAAGTTGACCAAGGTTCCAGTGTGAGGGAACAGGTGTCTCTTGTCCTTAGGAGCTATTTGTGCCACCCCCGCTCACTGCCAAGCCGTAGGGGATTGGGGATTTATTTTCTACTTGCTACCATGACTTTTCTTTGGTGAATTTCAAAGTTATTTTCTTACTATAAATGTATAATTATGGACTTGTAGAAGCCAAGCATTGTCCTTTTGAACACAGCATACTGGCTAAGTGGTTGAGCAATAAGAGCAGAAAGTTTGAATTCAAATCACAGCATTGATACCTACTAGCTGTGTAACTTTGAGCAAGCTTCTTTTTTTTTTTTTTTTTTTTTTTTTTTT